GCTTTGCCTTGATTCCCGGGGCGCGGCGCCAAGCGTTGCGCGACTCTGGGAGGGCCCCCTTGCAAGACGGGCCCCTTTTTGCGCCGCTCCCGTGCTGCAAACTCCTCCCCGAGCTCCGGCGCCAGGCCCCTCGCGGGCGTGGACCGGGCTCTACCGATAGACGCCGGCACTCTCAGCTCCCAAGATCCTCTGTGACGCCTTGCCCGAGCGGGTGTCTCCGCGACTCGGGGGGCGCGCACCTGCTTCTGCACGAGCTCGCAGCGGAAGCAGCCGCGCAGAGACGCCCCCTCTCTGGCCACGCTGCTGGCGATCTCCGAAAAGGCGTTCCCGCGCACGAGGCGCGAACCGCCGCTTGTGCACGAAGGGGAGAGAGCCCAGGCTCAAGGGCGGCGCCTTCGCCCTCCTCGCCAGCACACTCGAGGAGGACGGGGTGCACGTCGCCTTCGAAGGCGTCTCCGCAGCGCCCCTCTTCCACGGCATGGCGGAGGGTGGCACCATCGGGGCCCTCGCAGTCCCAGCACACGTGGACTCCTTGACGGAGTCGTTCCTGGAAGTTGGCTGTGGAGTTGGTATCGGGTTTGCCTTGCCAAGGGCCTGCGGGTACACGGGTTCACGCTGCTGCCGCTGCCACCATCGAGGCGCATCATGGCCACTCCGAGGAGCACCCGTGGCAAGGTCACGACCGCGCAACGCCACCTGTCAACTGAAGACGAGAGTGTGCGGCAAGAAGCTTTTTTGTGGTGAGGAGGGGGGTTAAGCAGGATAGGCGATAACACGAACACAAGGCCGCCCGGTCTGTCAGTGGATATCGGAAGTCTTCTCTGGCTACCGCAAGCGGTCGCACATCGCCGATCGTTTGGATGCGGTGACGCGCGGAGGGTAATTCGTCCAAACAATCGTGTTGTTTTTCTCGCGGGCTCCGAAGTGCAGCATGGACTCTCTCGTTTGCGGGCGCGGCTGGCCTTCGACAGGGGAACACCAGGGAGCATCGACCTCATGCCGGCCGCCTTCTTGCGCGTCAGGCTTCTGTGTGGGAGTGGGGATGGGGACCTGCGCAGGCAAGAGAGCACCCCCGCCGCAGGCTGGGCTTCTCCGCGCGGGCCCTTTTTCGGGAGAGCCGCTCAGCTGTTCCCCGCGGCAGAAAAGTGGCCGAATGAAGGAGGATGTCGGGCGGGCCCAGGGCCGGGGAGGAGGAGGAGGAGGAGGAGGAGGAGGAGGAGGAGGAGGAGAGGAGGTGATTGAGGAGGAGGAGGTGGAGGAGGAGGAGGAGGAGGAGGAGTCCTGCCTGGCCGTTCTGGAACGCTCCCAGATCTGTCCACGGCGTGCTGGAGCGGCCGCGGCGCTCGACGCGTGCTCCAGAGCGGCAGAATCTCTAGGGTTCCCAATGTTTCTATCCCGGTGCGATTCTGCCCCGCCCCTGGCCTCGTGTCAGGGCGGGGAGGGGAGAGCCAGGTGGAGAAGAAAAGCGGAGCACGGAGGCCCGAACCACCCACTCTCACACATACGCGTTTCAACGAGCGCCTCTGGGGGGCCGCCGCCCCATGCGACGAGCCCGAGGCGACCCTGGTCGTGAAGGCGCCGCGCCCCCCGGCGCGGTGTGCCGACGCGGCGAAGCTGACCTCCGTCGGGGAGGGCCCGCCGCACGCCCAGCGGCAAGCCCAAGACACCCAGGGGCCATCGCGTCATACAGGTTGCCGTTTGGGCCGCAGGGGGGATCCACACAGCGCCCGTTGCCCCTTTTCCTCTGCCTCGCTCCTCCTTTTTGGGCTTGCGACCGTTCTGTGCACTTTCGTGACGTCGGCCTTCGCCCTCGCCGTTTTGATGTCCATCGACTTTCGGCGGCCAGCTCGACCAGGCTTTTATATCTATAAAAAATAGCCGGAGTGCAGTATCCCCAAACAGGGTTTTTAAGCCCACTGCGGTTTCCAAGGTCGATTGCGTGCCCGTCCAGTGTGGGCTGGCATGGCATGTTAGAACATGCCTCCTCCTCCTCCACCTCCTCCTCCTCCTCCTCCTCATCCCGAACGGCATCTCGGATCCCAGAGTTGCAAGGATGTCTCCAGAGTAACGGGCTGGACCACCTCGCGCGCGGCATCTCGGACCCCAGAGTTGCGACGATGTCTCGGGCGAAACGTTCTGCGAGGAAGTCTCAGGCGAAACGGGCCGGACCACCTCGAGCGCGGCGTCTCAGAGCTCCGAGTAGCGGGGGCCTCCTGGGGCCTCCTGGGGCCTCCTGGGGACCTCCTGTGGCTTCCTCCTGGGCCTCCTGTGGCCTCCTGGACCCCACCTGGGGCTTCCTGAAGCCTCTTGGGGCTCCCAGGGGGGGATATCTAACATGTGGCCGTCGGGGCCCCCCAAAATGGGGGGGGCCACAAGAGCAGGGAAAATCAACGAATCGACACCGGATGTGTATTAACTTGGCACGTTCTGATAATAAGGTGGTGCCTCCTGGGGCCTCCTGGGAGCCTCCTGAGAATCTCCTGGGGACCCCTGGGGCCTGTCCTGGGCGTCCTGCGGCCTCCTGAAGCTCTCTGGGGCAACCTGGGGCTCCCAGGGTCCCAGGGGGGATATGTAACATGTGGTCTTCTGGGCCCCCAGGCTGGACCACCTCTTGCGCGGCATCTGGGAGCTCAGAGTTGCGAGAATGTCTTGTGCGAAACGGGCCGGACGACCCTGCGCACGGCATCTCAGAGCTCAGAGTTGCGAGGATGTCTCAAGCGAGACGGGCCGGACCACCTCACGCAGGGCATCTCAGCTCAGAAGGGCGAGGATGTCTCAGGCGAAACGGGCTGGACCACGTCGCGCGCGGCATCTCCGAGGTCAGAGTCGCGAGGATGTCTCACGCGAAATTGGCTGGACCACCTCTTGCGCGGCAGCTCAGAGCTCAGAGTTTCGAGGATGTCTCAGGCGAAACGGGCCGGACCACCTCGCGCGCGGCATCTCAGAGCTCAGAGTTTCGAGGACGGCTCAGACGAAACGGGCTGGACCACCTCTCGCGCGGCATTTGGAAATCCAAAAGTGCGAGGATGTCTCAGGCGAAACGGGCCAGACCACCTCTTGGGCGGCATCTCGGGGCTCAGAGTTTGGAGGATGTCTCAAGCGAAACGGGGCGGACCACCCCTCCCGAGGCATCAGAGAGCGCAGAGTTGCCAGGATGTCTCAGGCAAAACGGGCCGGACCACCTCGCGCACGGCATATCAGGGCTCAGAGTTTGGAGGATGTCTCAGGCGAAACGGGCCGGACCACCTCTTGCGCGGCATCTGGAAGCTCAGAGTGTCAAGACGTCTCAGGCGAAATGGGGTGGACCACTTCTTGCGCGGCATCTCAGAATTCAGAGTTGCGAGGATGTCTCAGGCGAAACACGCCGGACCACCTCGCGCACGGCATCTCAGAGCTCAGAGATTGGAGGATGTCTCAGGCGATAAGGGCCGGACTACCTCTCGCGCGGCATCTGGGAGTTCAGAGTTTGGAGGATGTCTCAGGCGAAACGGGCCGGACCACCTCTCGCGCAGCATCTGGGAGCTCAGAGTTTCGAGGATGTCTCAGGCGAAACGGGCCGGACCACTTCTTGCGCGGCATTTGGGAACTCAGAGTTTGGAGGATGTCTCCCGCGAAACGCCCAATCCCGGACAACTCAGAAACGAGAGTTGCGAGGATGTCTCAGGCGGAACGGCCCAGACCACCAAATTTTTGTGAGGACGTCTCTGCTTTGAGTTCCCTCGGCAGGAGTTAGCTTCTATCACAGCAGCACCCTGTTCAGCAAGCTGTTAGGGGAAAAATCTTGCGGGATGGCGGGGTCTGAGTACTACTCTCCTCTCTCCCCTGACCAACTCCGTCGTTGGGTGCGATCCGCACGATCGAGTTCCCGCGATTGCTGCAGTCCGCACCCCCTGGCGCAGGGACGCGCCGCGACGCGGGCCGGGGTCCTGCAGCGCTGGCCCGCCGAAAGATGGGCACAGGAAGTCGGAGTCCGACCCGTCGTGCGCCCCCTGCTGCTCTACGCGGGGCGACTGTCGAGCGCGCCCGCGCCGCGTGGCCAAGACTCCTTCAGATGGAGACTGGTGCTGTTCATGGTACGGCGAAGCCGTAGCGCTCTGCTGCTTCATTCAACTGTTGATGACTGACGTTCTCGTAAAACTTGCGGCTGTCATAAAACACACCGTCTAGCGTGGCACGCCAACGTGTTATGCAGATATGCCGTTTTGTCAAAACTGATGTCCGCATCTTTTCCCCAGACAAATGTGGCATCAACTGAATCGTCCGAACTCTTGACGTATCGCCTCCTGCAACGGCTCCAAATACGCGCCCAGAAACACAGAAGGCCGATGGGCCTGGTTTCACCATCTGGCTTTGGAAGAAAAGCATTGATCGTTACCCACATCCGTTCACACTGAGGATTACTCTTCCAGCGCGTGAGAATCTCTTGCAACCTCTGAACGAACATACCATCCAAGAAACGAATCAACCTCATGTGGAAGTTACCCCAGCCCAGGCCAGTAGACGGACTGAACGAGCGACACACTTGCATGATCTGGTCCTCCGAAATCGGTTTGAGCGTCCACGGGTCGCTCCAGTCAGTCGGCGCAGCCTCATGTACCCTGTCGTCGGAGATCCACAGCTCTTCCCATTCTTCCAGAGCCGCAGTGATAGCAGCCGCTCCAATCAGCCCGTGTGGCTGACCCTTGGCCAGAGGGGTCGCCTCCTCTAGCCTTTTGGGCCGAGCTATCGCATGGGCCAGCTTTCCAGAACCTTCAGCTGCAGATGCCCCAAACTCACGCCAAGCTTTACTTCTAGCCTGAGAGTCCTGACGCCTGCGCTCTTCCGGGAGGAGGAGAAGGAGGAGGAGGAAGAGGAGGAGGAAAAGGAACCACGAGGAGGGGTGGAGGAGGCGGAAGAGGAAGCGGGACATGGTGATGAGCGGGAGGAGGAGGAAGCGGAGCAGCAGGCACGACGACGGCGATTGCGGCGACGGGCGCGCCGGGCGGGGCCCAAACCGCTAGGCCTTGCTCGATCTCGGCCTGGACGCACAGGACCGCTCGACGCGCCACGTCGTCGTCGGGCCTCGGCGTTGTCTTCGTCATTGTCGTCGTCGTCAGGCAACGTCAGACGACGTCAAGCGTCGTTGTCGCGTGTCAGCATCGGGCGTCGTCGAACGTCGTTGTCACCGTCGTCAGCCACCGTCGTCGTCGGGCGCCGTCGTCCTCGGCGTCAGCCGTCTTCGTCGTCGTCGTCAGCCGTCGTTGTCGTCGTTGTTGTCGTCGTCCTCGTCGTTGTCGTCGTCGTCGTCGTCGTCAGGCGTCGTCAAGCAACGTCGTCGTCCAGCGCTTTCGTCGTCGGGCCTCGTCGTTGTCCTCGTCGGGCGCTGTCGTCGTCGGGCATCGTCGTCGTCGGGCGTCGACGTCGTTGTTGTCACCGGGCGTCGTCGCGGCCGTCGTCATCAGGCGTGCCCGCGCGGGCGCGACCGCCGCGGCGCCACGACGACCCCCTGCCGCCCCCCAGAATGCAGTCACATTTGTGGGATGAGGCCCGCTTTGGTTTTGAAAGGGCTCGATGTTCATCAGGTCCTTCTGCGGGTTCCTCCCCTGGTGGTCCTCCCGCACCTGGTCGCAATGGAGGCCTGAAATGGGCTTTGCTCCATCTCCAAGGCTCCTTACGGCAAAACTTCGACTGTCTAGAGTTGCTTTGCCCAATGCATAAAATCAATCATGCGCGTGCAGAGATCAGCCCAGGACTTGGCCGAGCAGCTGGGTTTGCTTGTAGCCGTTGGTTGTGTCTTCGTGCGAGGGATGCGGACAAGATATTTGACAGTATGAAAGCAAAAACGGCGTTGGAGGTCCGGGAAGGATCACGAATCTAGGTGTATTTGAAGGTTGTCTGCCTCCTTTTTGAACTTCCTTGGGCGCTCTCGTCGCCACAGACAGATCCGGCTTGGAATGCTGGTCGGGGTCGGCCCTGAGGGTGGGTGCCAGACACCCGACGTCGTGAGTTGGTTCGATCCCCGACGTTTTTCCAGCGATATTCGTTTGTTCCCCAACAGTGCTTGCACTCAGGGGTGTCTTACTTCTGTTCTAAGGAGCTGGGCCTGTCTGTCGGTCTGGCGGCTATGTTATCGCCGTCGCGGCCCCGTCGCCGCCTCGTCGCCGCCCGTCGTCTGGGCCTCTCTGTCAGTCTGACGGCCATCTCGTCGCTGTGGCCGTCCCTTCGCCGCCTCGTCGATGCCCGACGTCTGGGCCAGTCTGTCGGTATGGCGGCTATGCTGTCGCCGTCGCGGCCCCGTCGCCGCCTCGTCGCCGCCCGTCGTCGGGACCTGTCTGTCGGGGTGGTTGCCATATGTTCGCCGTGGCCACCCCGTCGCCGCCTCTTCGACGCCCGTCGTCTGGGCCTGTCGGTCGGTTCTTCGGCTATGGTGTCGCCGTCGCCGCCCTGTCACCGCAAAGATTGCACCACATACATTGCACCGCGTAGATGGCACCACATCGTTTGTACAACATTTGTTACACCAAATAGGTTGCACAACGCAGATTGCACCAAATAAATTGCATCACTCGGGCTGCACCACATCAGTGACACCACCGAAATTGCACAACATGGATTGCGCCACGCGGTTTGCGCCACCCAGATTGCACGGCATAGTTTTCGCAATATATTTCGAACCGCATCGAGTGCACCACACGCATTGCACCACATTGATCGCACATCATAGAGGGCACCCCATAGTCTGCTTCACATAATTTCTCCTTTTCTGAAAATATGGACTCCACCCACCCACCCGGATTATCGGTCCCCTTTTTGTCGCATTGAATTTGTCATATGACTCTGCCCCATCGTCCATCCTGAATCTAGACGCGCACCATCCCAGGGGGGCCTGTATCCCCCCTCCGCCATCCTCGGCAAAAAATATTATGCGCGCGCAATTGTTCATTAAATAACATGAGTTTCCACAAGCCCCTTGCAACAACAAATGAGACGAAGCACGCGCGCGCGTTGTCGCGCGCGCGTTCCGAAATCCTCCAAAAATTGACGGTTGCGTCGTGATGTCGAAAACGAGTGTTCCAAAAACATTAAGTTTCGGAGCGCGGATGGTTAAACAAAAAACTTGCGCGCGCTCTTGCAAGTTCTTAAATAAACCATAAGTGTTGCATCCTATCCTGGAAACGATGCCAAACGGGTTTCGCGCGCGCATGTCGAAATCATTCGAACGTTTTTGCGCGCGTGCCGTCGCGAGAATCTTTTGCACAACACAAGACGAAGCACACGCGCGCGCGACGACGCGCGCGCATGCCGAAATCCTTCAAGAACCGTTTGTGTCGTAGCGATATCAAAACCGACTGCCCAAAACACATACAAGCGATATCAAAACCGACTGCCCAAAACACATACAAAAACATATTGCTCCGAAGCTTCAGTTTTTCGGATTCTTATGTTTTATTTCATGTCATAGTATTTCTTCTTTTGTTTTATGTTTTAGTATATTAAAAATGGTTTTACAAAGCGAGCTCTTGCGAATTATTCAGAAAACCGCGGGTTTCCCAACATGCTCATGTGATTCTGCCGAACGGGCCTCTGGCGCCGCATGCCGAAACCTTTCCGTGCCTTTGCGCGCGTGCTGGCGGGGCACGATCCGTCTCAAATAAAACCATGCGGGCCACTGTCACGCGTCGGCCGCGCGCGCATGTCGAACCGTTTCCAAAACCTGCACCACCGACGCGAAGACGCCGTCACCGTCGCCGGCTTGACCAACATCGGCGCCCGCACTGACCGCGCCGTCGTCGTTGTCAGCATCGCCACCAGCATCGCCACTATCATCATCGTGTCTACCCTTGTCGGCGTTGCCACGATTCCGGTCCCGCCCAAGTCGCCGACTCGCACTGAAGTGCCCGTTGGGATGTGCCGAGCGGCCAGCACCACCGCGTTCGCGTCGGTCGCGACAAACTGGCTGGCCGCTGCGCGCGCGCTTGGGTTGGCGCCGCCGCGGAGACGCACCAGCCAATGCCAGGCACTCATCGCAATCGTAACCGCATGCGTTTTGCAAACCAAGTTGCGGGTGGGTGGGTGGATTATTGCGCGAGCAGTGGACTTGACAACTCACTGCGGACAGTAATTGATTCTCTTTTCTAGAAAGAGAATAGACTCTACCCACCCCCCACCCCCCCCACCCCAGGGACTATCGACACCCAACTTCGCATTGCAATTTACGCATGCTTCTGTCCCACCGCCCATCCAAAGTATGGATTCGTACCATCCCAGCAAGGGCAGCATCGCCCCCCCCATCATCCTCTGCAAAAAAATCCCCCCCACACTCGTCCATCAAAAATGATAAGTTTTCAAGAAACCCCATGCCAAAAGTGCGACGAAGTGCGCGCGCGCGCCGTCGCGTGCTCGTGCCAAAATCCGTCAAAAAACTTCGGTTCTGTAAGGAACTCAAAACCGAGCGTTCGAAACCAACCTAAAAAAGCACCATGTTTCACAACGCGGGTTTCCACGCCAATAAACAAGTGTCTCACCAATTCCATAAAATGCTACCAAACGGGCGTCGCGCGCGCATGTCGCAATCTTTCGAACGCCCTTGCGCGCGTGCTGGGGTGGCACGACCAGTGTCAAATACGATCATGCGGGCCCCCCTCGCGCGTCTGCCGCGCGCGCGCATGTCGAACTCTTGCCAAAAGTTTTACCGACGCAAGACGCCGCCATCGTCGTCGGCGCCATCAGCACCGACGGTGTCACTGGCTGCCCCCGTCGCTGCCAGCATCGCCACCAGCATCGCCACTATCATCATCGTGTCTACCCTTGTCGGCGTTGCCATGATACCGCCCCCGCCCAAGTCGCCGACTCGCACTGAAGTGCCCGCTGGGGCGTGCGGGCAGCCAGCGCCACCGCGCCCGCGTCGGTCGCGCCAAACTGGCTTGCCGCTGCGCGCGCGAGCACGCGCGGGCCAGCGCGGCCGCGGAGATGCACGAGCCAACACCAAGCACTCATCGCAATCGCTTCCGCACGGTTTGCAAACCAAGTTGCGGGTGGGTGGGTGGGATGATTGCGCGAGCAGTGGAGCTGGCAACTTCAAGTTTCGGCAAGTGATTAAATTTTCTGCTTGAGAAGAATAAGCTCTACCTCCCCCCAGGGATTATCCAACTTCCTTGTCGTACTACATGTTACAAATTATACGGGTCCATCGCCCATCCTTAATATGAATTCGAACTATCCCAGCCCAACTGGCATCCCCCCTCCCCCCCCCCCGCCTCCCCCTGCGCAAGGAAAATATTACGCGCGCACAATCGCTCACCATAAGCCATCAGTCTTCACTCGTCCCTTGCAAGAGCACGGGGCGAAGTGCGCGCGCGCATGCCGAAATCCTTTTTAAAACCTTCGGTCGCGGAAGGAATTCAAAACCGAGCGTCCAAGACACACATAAAAAATACCTGGTTTCGCGCTCTTGCGAATGCTGAAGAGATCCGTAGGTTTTTTGTTCAACATGTTCAGACAATGCTACCAAACGGGCTGCGCGCGCGCATGCTGAAATCGCTCGAACGCCCTGCTCGCGCGCCGCCGCGATAATCATTTGCGACACGGGGCGAAGTGCACGCGCGCGCGCGTCGTCGCGCGCGCGCCGAAATCATTCAAAAAACCTGCGGTATCGCAGCGATTCCAAAACCGAACGCCCAAAATAGTATGCATAACCACATGATTTCGCAGCAACAGTTTTCAAAACAATCTTCGCGCGCGCTCATGTGAATTCTTAAGGAAACCATCGGTTTGTTGTTCCAGACTGTCTTGGAGTTTTGCCAAACGGGCCTCTGGCGCCGTATGCCGACGCCATCCGCGCGCCCTTGCGCGCGCGCTGGGGTGGGGGGGGGACACGGTCCGTCTCTTATGCCACCATGCGGGCCACTCTCACGCGTTGGCCGCGCACGCATGTCGAACCATTTCCACAACCATCATCGCCGACGCGAGGACGCCGCCATCGTCGTCGTCGCCATCCGCATTGGCGCCCGCATTGGCCGCGCCTTCGTTGGCGCGAGCATCGTCGCCAGCAGCGCCACTATCATCATCGCGTCTACCGTTGTCGGCGTTGCCACGATACCGCGACCGCCCAAGTTGCCGACTCGCACCGAAGTGCCCGCAGGGACGCGCCCGGCGGTCAGCGCCACCGCGGCTGCGTCGGCGGCGCCAAGCTAGATGGCCGCTGCGCGCGCGTGCTTGGGTTGGCGCGGCCGCGGAGATGCACCAGCTAACGCCAAGCATGCATCGCAATCGCCACCGCATGGGTTTTGCAGTTTTGCAAACCAAGTTGCTGGCGGGTGGGTGGGTGGGATGTTTGCAAGAGCGTGTGATGTGTAAACTCGCTTGTTCAAGACCAGTTACCACACATATTGCACCACTCAGACTGCGCCTCATAACGTGCACAACATAGATTCAGGCCGTATAGATTGTTCCACGTGGGCTCCACAACATGTTGCACCACAACGCGTGCGCAACATGTATTGCACCACATACGTTGCACCACATAGATCGCACAACCTAGGGTGCATAACAATGATTGCACCACATAAGTTGCACTACTTAGGCGGCGCCACATGTCTTGCACGCCATAAACTGGACCGCGCAGATTGGACCACATGGGTTGCACCACACGTACTGCACCACAACGAGCGCACAACCTGTTTTGCGCCACATACATTGCACTTCATAGATCGCACAACTTAGGGTGCATCATATGCGTTGCACAGCATCTAGTGCACCACGTAGGGTGCAAAACATAAGGCGCGCCACATATATTGCACCACGCAGATTGCCCCACATATATTCTCCTTGTTTCAACACATGATAGGATCGAGCCCCCCCCCGCCCCCCCCCCCCACACACACACACACACACACACACACACACACACACACACACACACACACACACACACACACACACACACACACGCACACACACATACACACTGGAATTAACGGTACCATTTATGTTGTATTGCAGTTTGTATTTGATTTTGCCCCATTGCCCATCCTAGATATGAACTCGTACCATCCCAGGCAGGCTGCTACCTGCACCCCCCATCGCCAAGACCAAGCACTCATCCAATCACTCATCGCAACCAACACCAAGCACTCATCGCAATCGCCGCTGCATGGGCATATGCATGCTAAATTGCGGGTGGGTTGCTGGGATGATTGCGCGAGCAGTGGAGTTGACAGCTCACTTCGAACAGAAATTAATTGCACCACGTAGACTGCACCTCATAGCTTACACAACATAGATTTGACAATATAAGTTGCATCACATGGGCTGCACATCTTACATTACACCATGTAGAGTGCACAACTTATACTCGGATCTATTTCACCCGGATTTCTTATCGGTCCCCCTTTGGGGATTTGCACATTGCATATGGTTCTGCCCCCTCGTCCATCCCAACTATGACTTCTTACCATCCCAGGCAGGCCGGCATCCCCCCCTTTTCATCCGATGCCAAAAATACTACGCGCGCGCATTTGTTTCTCGCAAATTATACTGTTTCAACAATCCCTAGCAACAAACATGACGAAGTGCACACGCGCGCGTCCTCGCGCGCGCATGCGGAAATCCTTGAAAAACTTGCGGTGTCGTAGAGATTTCAGAATCGAGCGTCACGAAGTACATGCAAAAACACATGGTTTCGCAGCAAATATGTTCAAAACATCCTGCGGTCGCGCTCTTGCAGATCCGTAAGAGAGTCATAGGTTTTTCAAAATGTTCATTACATGCTACCACACGGGCCTCTCGCGCACGATCCTCGATCCTCGAGCCACGGCATCAGGCCGGGCCATTTCTCACGGTCGTGGGACCCTCGCAGGTCGATCCGGCCGCTCCAGTTCGAGAGGTGCTCAGAAAGATGGGGTCCGGGGCTCGGGTCATGATCCCGCGCGTTGTCGTGTTCTGTTCGCGCCGTCGGCCTCTGAGGGAACCTCGAGCTTCGAGCCACCCTCAGACGTTCGGACGGGGCTAGGGCGAGGACAAATCCGCCCAAGAGCTTTCACTCTCACAGAGCGTCTTGGAACGCTCTGAGGAAACCGCGGCGCCCGAGGCATCCTCCAGAACCGCCGGATCTCAGAGATGCTCGATTGATCCTCCCCCGGGTCCCCCGATGTTACCCTCGTCCCTGCTTCGTCTTAGGCCTCCTCGAGCTCGCCCTGCCCCCGCCCCCGCCCGGGTGCGGGCAGGAGAAGAATTCCAAGGGCGTGCTGCTGCTGCACAGAGCCTGCCGGCAGGCGGCGGCGCCCCCCCCCCCGGCCCCCCCCCCCCCACAGGAGTGAGCAGCCAGCACGGAGGGGGCCTCGGGGGCCCAGAGAGTGGCGCCAGCACCAGCTCGCAGGCGAGTTGTCTCCCCCAACCCCCGGCGTTCCGACTAAGGAAGAAACACCGCTCAGAACAGGAGGGGAACCCTGGGATATACCCCGGGGGGCCACTCGGACGCACCCAATATGGAAGATGGACGCCCCCCCATCGTGTATCCCCGAGTCGGGCTTCAGATTTCTGGTCCACTCGAAAATTTCCCAAAGCCTGGGATAGGGGTCGGGATGGCCCCTGTTGCCAGTTTCGGCGGTTGCCTCCACCGAGGTGGGGGGATCCTGATCTCGGTGATGGTGGTGATAGTCGGACTTCCTCCAGCACCGAGATCCAGCATCCTCTTCCCCCGGTGGAGGCAAGACCCTATGTTAATACTAGCGCTAAGCTCCAGGACCCCAAGGGAAGGGGCCCAAGGAGAGGAGGAGGCGGAGGAGGAGGAGGAGGAGGAGAAGGAGAAGGAGAAGGAGGAGGAAGAAGGCCGTGTGCGGGAACTCCTCCAGCGCCGCGCACCGCCCGCGCGGCCGCCCTCGGGGGGGCCCAGCCTCTGCGCGTCGCCGCGCAATAGGGGGCGGGCGGCGTGCGCTTCACCCTGAACACTTGCATCCACCAGTGGGTGAACAACCGGGTGTGCATCTTCCTCCACGCGTGGGCGATCATCGCACCAGGGTGTACACGCACGCCGAGTCATCGCGGTGCACATCGACGAGGACATCAATCAGGCTTTTGAGACCACGCACTTTGCGCGGAGACATACCAGCAACCATGCCGAGACCAAACGCGACCTGGACGACATGGGTACGAACAGGTGCAGCTTTCAAGATGATGGGATACCTCGACCGACACGGGCTACAACCACACCTCAACGACACCATGATTATCGCTACGACAGCCCTCATGGTGGCGTCCACCACAGGACGGGCCCAGCCGCTTTACTCCTGTGACGAGTTGTGTAACAGACAGTCCAGGGACGACTGCGATACCAAGTGCGACACTTCCAGGAACTACGACGCCGAGCGCGGCGCAAAGTGCGAGAAGTACCACGGGTACGACACCCAGGACGCCACCGAGTTCGACTGCAAGTGCGACAGCAAGCGCGGCAGCATGCACCTGGCCGAGGCCGTCCTCAGGTCGAGTCAGAAAGCGATCTCCCCCCCAGGCGAGGAAGGACATTATTGGAGGCGACCTGGCGCTTTCTTTTTCCAGTTGCCGGAGCCAAACGTGGACTGCGACGCCCAACTGATCAGCCACAGCGGCTTCCAGAACAGATACGACCACCCGGGCAACGACGACCACCAGGATTGCAATTTCTTCCAGATTGGCCAGGACTACGATTCCCTGTGCACCTACGCCGCCAGCGACCACTGGTGAGGAGGCCAAGAAGGCAGAGGAGGTCCGGGAGGCGGAGGAGGCCAGGAAGGCGCAGGAAGCCAGGAAGATTGCTGAGGCTCAGAAACCAGGAGGCCAGGCCAAGAACGCTGACAGAGGAGGCCAGGAAGCATTGGAGGCAAAGAAGCCATGGGGAGGCCAAGACAGCTGAGGAGGCCTGCAGAAGAAACCCAGGCAGGATCAGGAGGCCAGGGAGGCTGCTTCGGCCAACAGCTGAGGAGGACTGGAAGTCTGACAGGAGGGTGTTGCTGAGGCCAACAAAGCAGAGGAGGCCGCCCAGGCAAAGACTGCACAGGAGGAGACTGCACAGGAGGCCAAAAAGGCGGAGGAGCCGAGTATTGCAAAGGGGGCCGAGATTGGAAAGAAGGATCGGGAGCTGGCCAGAAGGCACAAGACTAGGAGCTTGACGTCCTCGAGATGAGGCCTACTTCGCGAAGTGCCGGACCATCGGGAGGTGACCTTCCTCGGAGACCTGTTAGAAGCCAAGGAAACCAGAGAGGAAGACTACGACGGCCTGCCCGCGGAGGCCCAGAAGGCAGAGGAGGGTAGGAAGGCAGATGAAGTCAGAAAGCCAGAGGAGGCTATGCAAGCTCCAGGGGCCAGGAAGGCAGAGGAGGACAGGAGTGCCGAGGAGGCTATGAGGGCACGGAGGAGAGGAGGAGAGCTGAACCAAGTGCCGAAGCCAGGGAATGCAGAGGAAGCTCTGAAGGCAGAGGAAGCTCTGAAGGCAGAGGGGGCCATGAATAAGGAAGAGGGCAGGAAGACTGCCGAGGCCACAAAGGCAGAGGAAGCCGATCAGAGAAAGGAGGTTGTGTCCAGAATGGTACGGGATACCACTGAGAAGGCGGAGGACCGGCAGCGAATCTCCTTTGCGCACCGCCTGACCGAATGTCTGATAGTGGCCCTACATGCACTACCCCGCGATCGTCGTGATGATTCCGATCGCCTGCCCCGATGGCGTCTCCTCGCAACTTGTTCGGCTTCCCCCCCTCCTGTTGTGTATTCTCGCCTGTGCTCTCCCGTTGCTGGTGCTTCTCCTGCTGGCTATCGCCCTGTCTCATCGGCGCTAGCGCGAGCCCGAGCCGGCAGTTAGAGGGGCGGGGATGGGGCGCGGGCCGCGGCGCGGGGGCGCACTGCCCCCCGTTCCCAGCGCGATGTAGACGGGCCGGCCTTGCTCTTCTGGTTGCGGCCGATTCGGCGACTGCGGGCCAGACCGACTCGACGGCCGGCACCGCTGGCCACCGCTTGAGCAGAACTGCGCAGCGGCGAGGCCTCCCCCGCCCCCCCACCCCCCCTCCCATGGATCAGGGTATGTCAGAGCGTGAATTACCTACCCCGCTTCCGCTTCCAGGCAAAACCAAGTCATACCACGCGCCTCCTCGTCAAGCGGCCTGACCAGTACAGGCCGTAGTTTGGCATCGCTTGGTATCTCTTGGAAGCGAGGGTGGTCAAAAGCGAGGTAGGTTTGTTTGCCCCCTAGTATGGTAGTCTCTGGTCCTCCTCAGTCCTCTTCCTTCCTCCCCCACTTCGGAAGAGCTGCGCGCTGGCGTGTACGTTGCCCCCAGCGCTAGCTGCGCGCGCCCGCGGGCGGGCGTCGCGGGGCGCCGCGCTTTTGGGATTGCTGCGAGAGCGCTGCGCGGCGGAGGAGGAGGAGGAGGAGGAGGAGGAGGAGGAGGAGGAGGAGGAGGAGGAGGAGGAGGAGGAGGAGGAGTAGAAGGAGGAGGACCGGAGCAGCAGCAGCAGGCTGGCAGGAGCAAGAGCCGCGGCGCGAGCAGGAACACGAGCAGGGGGCGACGACTGTGCCGCACCGTGGCACCGATGACCCAGTGGCAGAAGCCTGCCCGAGGTCGGAGGAACGCAGGAAGCGGCGGTAGGCGTTGAGGGGGAGGGCGAGGAGGAGGATGTGGAGGTGGAGGAGAATGACCAGGAGGAGATCGAGGAGGAAATGGAGGACGATGCGACCAGGCGGAGGCTAAGAATCTGATGTGACGACGAAGCCGCCAGAGGACGATGATGGCGTGCAGGCGCGGTGGGGGTAGAGGTGGCCGCGGATTAACCAGAGGAGAACACGCAGCCCTGAGAGACCTGCGCTCCGACCCGGAACGGAGGACGGCGGGATTTGCGAAGGCCCCGTGAAAGGTTCATCCATGGTTTCGTTTGGGTTTCTTGTTGGGTCATTTTGGGAGGCGAAGCCTCTCGGCGCACCCCGGCGGCCATCCAGCCGTTTTGCCGGGGTCGCCAGGGTGCGCGGACGTTTCGTTTCCCCTGTATGTGGCGCGTCCAGTCGGAGTCGCGGCCGCTGCAGGAGCAGGAGCAGGAGAGAGGACGGAGGAGGGAGAAGGAAGGAGCGAAGGGTAGGCGTGGGGAGGAGGAGGGGGGAGAAGGAGGGGGGAGCAGGGAGGACGGAGGGCATGAATTGCATGGAGGAGTTGGCGGGACGTCGACAACGAGCCGGCGGCCCTGGCCACCCTGCTGCCAGAGGCCCGGCCTCACCTGTGGGCGCGCGCGGTGGCCAGAACTTCGGGGGCAATCCAGCAGTGGCGATGGGGTTGCCCCCTCGGGTGCGCCCGCTGGGCCCACTCAAAAGCACCGACCCTCGAACCTGGACTTTCGACGACGACGACGAAGGCGACGATGATAACGATGGCGACGACGACGACGACGGCAACGACGGCGACGACGACGACGACGACGACGACGACGACGACGACGACGACGACGACGACGCCGACGCCGACGACGACGCCGCCGCCGTCGCCGACGATGACGACGAAGACGACGACGCCGACGACGACGACGACGGCGACGGCGGTGGCGACGACGAGCCGACGGGCGAACACCCCCCACACCGCGGCCCGGCTTCGAAGACCGCCGCCACGCTCCCTGGGGCCACCGACGCGACGACCTCGAACACCCGAGCGACCTGTGTGGCCTGTCTACACTTCAGTCGGGCGTGTCTCTCTACAGGAGGAATTCCCAAAAATAGTTGAAGCAAGTAGTCTCGCGATGATCTGTTCGATTACCATTGGCTATATTTGGGGCATTTGTTTGACTATCTTTGTAACTGCTCCTGCAAAACCGACTGTAAGAGGGCATGCCCGACCTAAGTCTACACGGTGCGCGGCCCCGTGGAGCCCCGACCTTCTTCCCGCCGTCCGTGGGCAACGTCGCGTACAAAGCGCGACGATCGGGGGGCCCCCGTGGAGCCCCGACCTTCTTCCCGCCGTCCGTGGGCAACGCCGCGTGCAAAGCGCGACGATCGGGGGGCACCTACCAGGCCCCAGGGCCGTCCACAGAGTGCTACAAAAAACATTCCAGACCTGTAGACCTATCTGGACTGCCTCAAGCCTCGGCAAAAATTAGGACGTCGACGTCCTGGTGCTATTGTTTAGCCCTCCTGGAAGGTCAGGGAAGCTGGTCCATGGGAGCAGGTCCCGACCTCGTGAGGTCGCGCCATGGAAGAATCAGCACGTCTCGGGCGGGGCTGGGACAAAGAGAAATCCGTTCCAGAGCGTTCCGGAACGCTCTCGGAGCGTCCCTGACCGCTCTGAGAAGGCCGCGGCGCCCGCGACATCCTCCAGAGCCGCCTGACCCTGAGATCCGACGTTGTGACAGAAATTACAGTATCGAAGAAAATCACGCCTGGAGCCCCAGTGCCCATATTCCTGCGTCATTTCTCGAGCCGGATCGATCTGCGAGGGCGCCAGGGCCCGAAGTCGGGCGAACACGCCTGGCGCGAAACAGTTGCAACGCCAAGAGCTCAGGGGATCTGAGAGATTCTCGATCTACCCTCACCCGGTGGTGTCCTCGCCCCGGCTCCGCCTGACCTGGCCCCTCCCGGGGCCCACCCTGACCCGCTCCCCGCGGCGGACCTGGCCGCCGCTGCGACGACAGGCCTCTCCGTGGGAGACCCCAGCAGAAGGGCGAAGCTCGCCAGTGAGGGCCGTTCCTCCTCCTCCTCCTCCTCCTCCTCCTCCTCCTCCTCCTCCTCCTCGTTTTCCTCCTCCTCCTCCTCGTCTTCCTCCTCCTCCTCCTCCTCCTCCTCCTCTCCTCCTCCTCCTCCTGCTCCTCCTCCTCCTCCTCCTCCTCCTTCTCCCCGTCCTCCTCCTCCTCCTCCTCCTCCTCCTCCTCCTCGTCTTTCTCCTTTCCGTAGCCATTTTGGCTCAAGTCTGGATGAAAGCTACGGTGTAGCGAGATTCCAGACTGAGGGCCAAAGTGGTCCTCATAGGCATTTTGCCCTCGAGCTGCCTTGTTTCCTGCTCCCGAGGCCAGGTCATCGGCCGCCCGCAGGACAGTTCCGTTTAGGCATCTTCCGAGTCAGTGCAGCCGCTCCGCTGCGATGGCTTCTGATGATGAGATGATGTGCACAAAGCCAGTGGCCGAGGAAGATGGTTCGGTCTCGAAGCAGGTGCGTACTAGCGACGCTGGCTGGTCACGCGAGATGCTGGGGGACATTCGCTCGAACATGGCCGCAAAGGACGACGTCAATGAGGTGAAGAGAACCATTCATGAGCACGAGGTCAAGATAGATGGTCTGACTGCTCGAATGACGGCGATCGAGGACAGATCTTATACCAGCATGGAGGCAGCACAGTCCGCTGCCACCGCCGTCATGACTGAAGCTGTTGACAATAAGCTGAAGGACATGAAGGCACACAATCTAAAGATGCAGGCCGAGCTTGCTGCTCTGTCCTCGCGTACGCCATCGACCAGGTCGAATGCATCGGCCGCATCACAAGAGCCCGTGAAGGAGAGGGACAGTCGCAAGATCTGGATCGCAGGCTTCCCGAGGCCACTGCTAGCCAAGGTCGTGAGCGCCCATGCTACACAGCTCATCCTACAGCACGCCCCCGGCGGCATCACGGCAATGCCCAAGTCTCACAACTTCCAGACGGCCTACAGTATCATCTTCGAGTCGAACGAGGCGGCCAAGGATTTTTTGATGCGCGCTCGGAACCTGGGTGTGAAGTGGCGCGACCCTCGCACCAATACTGACGGTGAGTTGAAGATACGCATGGACGCACCGCCTGCCAACCGCAAAGTCAACCGCATCCTCGGCGTCCTCTGGTCCAAGGTTGTGGAGACAGCCAAGGCCAATAACAAGTGGAGTCCTTCTTTCATGCTAGGCTCGCAGGGATTTCGTGGCACACTATGGCTGATCTCGAATGATGACACGGAAAACCTCTTTCAGGTGAAAGGCGTAGAGTCGATGCAGTTGGACGTCATTCCTAACGTCGTGGCATTGAAGAAGCTAGGCTTCGCTGATGCCACCATCAACAGTACGGTTGAGAACTTCCTGATATAGGAAATCGCTCTGCCAAGCCAGCAGCGCATGAAGGCCGACTTGCATGATATGCCCTTGGGGATCCTCGCCTCTCCTGTGGATAGTGAGTTGGCTGATTTGGGTGTCCCGTTCTGCGCGGGTGCTTGCGGTGTGCGTTCCACACCTGTGCAAGCGGCAGACAGCGACGACCAGCGGCACGCCACATCTCCGCCTACGAAGAGAATTCGGTCTTCATGCGGAATAGCCACTTCAGCGAGAAGAGCAAGAGCCTCTTCCTCGTCGTCCTGCACGTCTGGGTCTTCCAGTCCTGGTGGGTCGTCTGCACGTTCGGCACCTTCGGCAAGTTCAACGTCCTCATCCTCCAGCTCCTCGTCGTCGTTTACGGTTGACTGGCCTGCGTTGCCGATGCGATGCAGCCCTTTCTTGCCGAGCAAGCGTTTTTCAGTTGTGTCTTGGATTGCTCGTTCGCTCTTCGGCGCACTGCACGCCCCGCAGCACACCCACCGCGCAAAGATCAGGCAGCTTATCAATATGATTCTGAACCATGGTGTTGTATGTATTCAAGAGGCTCGCGGGACGTACGAGTGTTTCCGTGCCCTGGAGCGTGAGGTATATCAGCTCTCTGGCTTCTCGACCTTTCTCTGCAACCCTCACTCTTGTGGTAGTCTTAATTATGTTCATCCTCGGGTACGCAACGCGTTTACACATGCGCAACTTCGTGTCATTGCACATGGGCGTATACTCACTGTTGTTCTTCATAATGTCCAGCATGCTCTCCTGATAGTCAGTGAGCATAGTGATCCTGGTCTTCGTGTGCGAGAGCGCAAGCGTCAGCTACTGCAGATTCGTGACGCCCTTCGGCCCCGAGAACTCTGCCCTAGTTCTGTGAAGCTCCAGCTGCTGAGCCGCCTGTACAAAAATGACCACCGTCTGTGCTTTAATGATATGGATATTGTTTTCCTGGCCTGCCGGGGGGGCCGCCCCTCTCGTTCCGCCCTCGGTCCTCGCCTCGCTTCTGGAAACAGTGTGTTTTGCCTGGTGCACTTCTAGGCGGTTTCGGAATGCCACCAAAGTTTGCCCGTTGTGCGGCCTTCGTGCCGCTGACACCCTCATACATGTGCTTGAATGCCCGAGGATTGACATCATTGGGATTTTCCTGCCTGAGCTCCCGTCTGCGTTCTGCCTTGCCCCTGGTGCCACCAGAATTCAGATTTATAGTTCTTTTCCTCTTGACATTCTTGCGCTGTTGTCTATCGTGTTGTATACTGATGCCTGCTTCCATTGTTATCATACTTGTCGCCATCGGCCCGCGTCGCCCGTCGCCGTGGCAGGGGCCCGGTTTCAGCAGGTCTGCAGGCTGAGGGCAGTCCTGTCCGCGCCGACTGGCGCGGCCCCGCAGGCGCCTCCCCGCGCGGCCGCGACGACGACGTCTTGCCCTCGTCTCGCTTCCTTACTCCTCCTCTTCCTCCTCCATCCTCCTCCTCCCTTCCTCTTCCTCCCTCCTCCTCTCCTCCCTCTTCTCCTTTCCTTCCTCCTCTCCTCTTCCTTCTCCTCCTCCTCCTCCTCCTTCCCTCCCTCTCTCCTCCTCCTCCTCCTCCTCCTCGTCTTCCTCCCTCCTCCTCCTCCTCTCCTCGCCTCCTCCTCCTCCTCCTCCTCCTCCTCCTCCTCCTCCTCCTCCTCCTCCTCCTCCTCCTCCTCCTTCTGCAGGCCCCGCACCCCCTGCTTAAGCCGTCGCCGCCAGGTTCCGTCGCGAATTCCACGGGGCCTGCAGAGGCGGCGGCGCCCGCGGAGCTCCAGCGGACGGCGACGGCGAGGCGCCCGTTGCATATGGCCAGCGACCCGCGCGCGCGCGCCCCGTCCCGAGGCCCGGCCCGAGGCCGCCGCGCTGCTCCTCGACCGGCGCGCAGACCCCCTGGCGGCCACCAGGACTTGGGGGGCGCGCGTGCCCAGGCAGCGGGCGTCTCGACAGCATCGAGGCTCTCGGGCCCCTGCGCTGCGACTTGACCGAGCCGGGAGTTCTATCGCCCGGCTGCGGGCCCCAGGGCCCTCACGGATCCATCCGGCTCGGGAAATGACGCAAAGAGATGGGGTCCGGATTCTCAACGAGGTTGCCATTTTGTCGCGTCGTCGGACTTCAGGGGGGAGGCTTTTCACGTTGTCGGCCTCTCGGTGCCCTCAGCGGGCCTCGGGGCCGTCAACAAGACAGCTCGGGATGAGAAGCCAGTCCCAGGGAAGTGGTCGAGAGGTCGGGGGCCCGCGTCAGACGCCGGGTGTCTGGGTGCCGGCCCTTCGCGGAAGTGTTTTTCTTGGGAGGGGGGGGAGGCGCAGTGCCATGCATGCCTTGAGATGCACCTGTTGCACGCCGAACGCTTTCGCCCAGCTTCGGTCCCAGGGGCCATCACCGATCGATTTGGCTCGACAAATACATCAGAAAGATGGGGTCTACAGTCAGCCCGCACAGTAAGGATGGGCGACCTGCCCAAGGGAACCCTTACTTCCTTGCCTCCTCGGTCCTTCCTTGGCCACTTTCGCAGGCCGCGCCCCGGTCGAGAAGCTTCGAAATGGCCCTCCCAGACCCTTGCATCCTCGTCGCACATCCTTATGATACGGGGCGGCTGTAGGGCTCCCGTCGCGATGTGTTCTGCGATGCGGAACTTGTTTTCTCGGGGGCCCCAAAACGGGGTGGTGACCACACCGTGTGGTGAGTCGGTGGGGATTTGGGGTCACCGCACGGTTTTGGGACTCGGGTCGTTCTCCAGGATGTCTCGGGCGACAGGGGCCCCCAGGGTCCCAGGACCGTGCGGTGACGGACCGTGCGGTGAGGTCTTGGGGGATTTCGAGGTCACCGCACGGTCTGTCACTGCACCGTTTCGGGACTCCAAAAGGACGCTTGGTGAACAAGTCGACCAGAGCTGCTGGCACCACCCCTCTGCCTCGCCTTCTGGGCCACATCGGGCCAACGCAGTGGAACGGGCAATAGGTCGTGACACAAGCAGACAAGAGGTCGTGTGAATCAATGGCGCTCTTGCGGCAGAAAGCCCTACTAAACAGCTTTGCGCGGCTCACGATGAGGGCCTCCAGAATTTCGCGACGTCGGACCTCATGGCCGGAGAAAAGCCAGTCGAGGCAGCACGGGGCCTTCCATGGCGGTCCTCGTAATTCCCCACATCCAAAGTGGGGTTCTTGTTTTCTCTGGACACCCCGCGCAGGAACAAGAACCCACCATCATCATCATCACTCATTCCTCACTCACTCACTCACTCACTCACTCACTCATCATCCCTCACACACTCACTCACTCAGTCACTCACTGACTCATCAGCACTCACATATGATGATGATGAGTGTGCGCGTGAGAGAGCGTGATGATCATCATTACCACCAACATCATCACACGGTTCACTCACTCATCATCATCAACATCATCAACACACTCATCACCATCATTCGACCACTCATCATCATCATCGTCATCATCATCGTCATCACCAGCATCACCA